AGGCGTACGCGCCAGTGGTCCGAAGGTCCAACCCAGCGTACGGAGACGGATATCTCAATGGGAACTCGTGCAGAGCAGCAGTGACAAAGAGGTCTTGCATAATACGAGATCTACTCGACGTGGAGGGCGTGTGTGATATTAACTAGCTAGTTGTTTCGGAGAAACCTTTGAAATCTGGAAGGCTGTCACGAATTAACCAACGAAATGCCGCAGAAAGGACGGTCTTGCGAGCGTGGGACGCGGGCGTCCCGGACCAATCACTGAGGCATTCTGGGTGCTCTCCAGAAAAGCACACGGAGCAGGGTGCAGTGATCTGGGTGCTCCTTGTGAGAGCACACAGAGCACCTGGATGCTCTGTAGAATCCGTGACAGAGCGGGCAGAGCATCGGGACGAGGAAGCTTGTATTTAAGTTCACGCTCTCTACGCCTGCGGGTACTTACGATAGCTTCCTCAGTAAGCAATGCAAGCAGTTGTCTCGACTACTGTGTGAACACTTGCTTGTGCGTTTGTTGTGAATCCTTTGGCTTCACTAGATCTTCACCCCGACCCCAGTGATACCTTCAGGGGTCCCTTTCAGAAGTAGGGGCTTGTCGATTTGTCACAAAGGCAGAGGAAATGGTGTTAGTGTTAGTGACTTGGCCTTCACCGCTTTAAGTGGGGAGATGGTAGCAGCTGTCAAAAATTTTGAGCCAATAGGTGCTTCCGCATTGCCCTGCCTGGATAACGCCCTGCCCGTGTATCAATTGTGCCCTGCCCGTGTATCAATTGTGCCCTGCCCGTGTATCAATTGTGCCCTGCCCGTATATCAATTCCCTTTTTTTAAACTCAAAATCTCAGCGCAGGAACATTTATGCATCTATCCGCTCACACCATACGTGCTCACACGTACAATTTGATAATGAAGATGACAGTGATTGGCTGAGAAAGTGCGTTGGTCGCTTCTGGCAGGAGATTAGCCAAAACAGACTTCCAGTAAAACGCCGAGTCAAAAACGGCTCCCGTCCGCGTATGGAAAGCAACTTGGCCGCCCTTGCCAAGCCGGACACAGTCATAAGGTTGATCGCGTTGTTATGCAGGTTCTCGACAAAGGCAAGAGAAGACGCGAGAGAAGCTCAGAAAGATGGGATAGATGGCACTATACTCCAGACCGCACATGTTGAATAGTAGAGAATCGCTTGGGATGCACTGGCATGACCGCTACAGTAAACTCCTCATCGTTCCCTAAGCGCCTGTGTTGCCGTTATGCGCCTGCCACTCCGTCAGAAAAGAGAGTGTAGAGACCGTGTGTGGATGATCTCGGCCTAGCACTTGCTGCTGGTGATGAAAGCAGATCTTCATCAAGTCTAGAGCGTCGTCAAAGCGGTCCTGACTTTTCCTGGTGTGAGAGAGATTGGCCATGCTGGTCAGCGTGTCGGGTTGCTCCTCTCCCAGCATCATCGAACAGATATCGAGTTCCTTCACATGTAACTCCTCAGCCTCCTTCCATCGGCCTTGCTTCCAGTACGTCGACGCCAAGTTGGCCATGCTGGTCAGCGTCAAGGGATGCTCCTCTCCCAGCACCCTCTTTCTTGTCTCCATCACTTGCACCTCCAGCAACTCGGCCTCCTTCCATCGGCCTCCTTCCATCGGCCTTGGTCCGCGTACGTCGACGCCAGGTTGGCCATGCAGGTTAGCGTCGAGGGATGCTCCTCTCCTAGCACTTCCCTTCGCAACCCTCTCGCCTGTAACCTGAACTTCTCCGCGTCTTTCCAATGACCTTGGTAAGAGAAGAACCCGCCAGCATGGTGAAAAAGTGTTGCCCTTGCCAGTCTCTCATCCTTCGTCTCGATGTGCTCAAACCCCAGTACCGCATACATATGGGGGAGCAATGCGCTACATATCGCCCGGTCCTCACGACAGCCGTACGGGTAAACCTGCACACCACCAACAGTGCCTGCCCGGCAAAGTGCCTCATCCTGCCCGGCAAAGTGCCTCATCCTGCCCTTCTTGACGAGCCACTTTCGCGTCACCAACTGTACGAGCCGGTGCATGTCCATCCATGATCTTTCTCCTCCACTATAAAAGGGAACGCCTTCAGAACACCCAATGCTTTCGTAAGCTGTATCGGCCCCGTTTGCTCCTGGTCCTGCTGCTTCCTATAACGGGACAAAAATTCCAGTGGAATGGCTTGCCGGTCAAAGAGGCTCATGAGTGACAGAAGCTCGCCTGCGAAGACATTCTACCGTTCGATCTGCTCGAACGAAAGAATCCATGTCTCAGCCACTGCACGAGGGGTCTCCGACTCCCTCCCGTCTGTCTCAAATTCTTCGCTGAGGAGATCGACGAGCTCCTGATCGCTACTGTCCAAGAGCTCAAGATACTTGCCGACAGCTATCGTGTTCTCTTAGATGAATGCGGCTGCTCGGACGAGCGCGAGCGGAAGGTGTTCTAGGCGATAAGAAAGTGCCGAGGATTCACTAGAAGTAATGCTGATTCCGTCAAGGTGTGTGCAGAGCAGCTGGTCTGTCTCGTCTTCGTTTATCTTCCCGACCTCGATAGGGCGTTTCCCCCTGGTCAGCCTCAAGCCGGCCTGCTTGTTCCTGGTTGTAACAAGAGTAGCGCCGTGCGGGCACTCGGGGAGGTACTGTCCGAGGCTCCCTTCGTGACTGGAGAGCCGGCATTCACAGACCCCATATGCTGTCCGAAGAAGAGCTGCATATCGTCGGCATTGTCGATAACCATCAGCCACTGGCCGCAATCCTTCCTCTTCAGCCAAGCTTTCACCAGCAACAAAACGTCTGCCTTTGGGTCGTCGTAGTCCGGTACCTGGCATTCCTGCGCGATAGACGCATATGCTTGCCGGAATCGTTCCGCATTGCTTGCATGGACCCAGAAGACTGAAACCTCTGGCCTCGTCCGCCGGAGCCAGTATGTGTATGCCAGAGCAATTTGCGTTTTTCTATGCTGGTCAGCACGAACTTCATACGCAGGCCGGCAGAACTAACCCGACACCGCCGGGGCCGAAGAGCGCGATCTTCGGAGCCGGCCCCAGAAGCTGTTGTTGGAGTTGATTGGGGATGGATTCCCGCCCAATGAACGTCGTATTCTCGGTATAGGGAACAAGGACTTTCGGCATGGTAAGCACAATTTGGTCTGACATATAATTATAAGGGTCTACCTACACCAAGGTCCGGTAGGCTGCTCGGGGGGAGGAAGAGATCCTACGAGACTTAGCAGGTGCTCTCCAACAAGGTCTTCCCCAATCCTCCCTGGTGGAACATTATTCACCTGGTACCGAAGGCACCCAGTAGCCTAAAAATGCCTTCATGGATGCTGTCGCCGTCGCCGCCGCGTACCGCTGCCACGCCTTGTTCTTTTGGCTGTCAGCGTAGTCGCACGCACCTTTGATGACCACGCAAGGGAAGACGTCCTAAACACCGGCGCCCTCCATTTCAAACCCCATAACACCCGCCTGCCGTGCGATGTCGTCGCGGTCCTCGCCCGATTTCATGACCGTGTCACCCGACGTAATCAGGCCAAAGTGAACCGCAGGCTGTCCATCGCCCTGCTCGAGGCAGGTGCGCGGCAACAGCTTGCCGTCGCAACCGCACTCTTCGCACGACATTCGTCAGCGATATGGCGATGCGTCGCCTCAAACAGCCTGTCTTGCGCAACACCGGGGTATATGGCCGCCAGCTCCGGCTCATGTTGGAGCACGTCCATATAGCCGGCCATCTTGCCCTGCAGCATCTTCCGGCCACGGAGACCCCTGAGCTTGGCGAGCAGAGCGCGGATCTCGGTGTTCGTCGACCCAGGGCGTCCAGAAGCGTGTCTTTCGGCTCGAACTGTTCGGGTAGTCGCCGTCCGAGATCGTGCTGTACGACACCATCGCTGACGATGACGTCGCCGAGCACGGTCTCGGCCGTCCCACTGCTGCCGGGACGGAAAGGGACGACACCGCAAACGCCGACGATGAGGGCGAGCTTGATGTTGGGGAAACTCGCGCGGTAGTGGGCAGCGACGGCCGCGGCGTTGGCCTTGCCCACGCCTGCTGTATGCGAGGACGACGTTGTGACGGCCGATGGCGCCGGTGGAGTAGGCGTTTGGATCGCCCACGGCTCTGTCGTAGGGCGGCCCGTCATCGTCCCAGTGGTGGTCGAAGAGGGCGTCGACGGCATCGGCTTCGATTGGGAGAGCGCAGATGACGGCAATTTCGAAGTTGGCCCGCGTGGCTGGGCGCCACGGCCGGCTTGGGTCCATCGGTGATGGCGCCGGAGTCGGCTCCGGAAGGCCGGTTGAAATCCTGTCAGATCCGGCCCGTGTGGGGTTAATGTGGGCCTGGGATCTGTCAATGTGGTTTGGGGCGAGGTGAGGGGTTTGCGAAGTTGGGCCTCACGTCGCCCTCTCTCGGGACCTCTCTTTTGCAGCCTGGCGGCTTTGGGACGGGCTGATTTTAGCACCCGCCTGTTCGGCACTGACCAGCAAGGCTGCGTCAACACCGGGGAATCCAGTGCCCATGGAGCCATCGCCAGCGATCGTTCCGGTAGGTCGTGCGCAGTTGCCGGCCCGGTTGCTGCGGCTTTCCGCTGCGGATGGGGACGTGCGTCTCGGTCCGCCACGGCCCGCCAAATCGTCAGTTACCTGCACTGGAAGCGCGCGGATCACAGGTCCCAGATCCCCGCCTTGCGTTTACACGTGTACTGTGTAGTAAAATGGGCTAAGATTACCACGTGTCAGCCACGTGACCGCGGGACTCGAAACTCGCGAGAAAGGCCATCCTCCAATTAGTCGGCATACGCATTCTCGCCTTGATTTAGAAAGATGGGTCGCCGGGGTAATGCCGTTGCCTTGATACGGACTTGCTTTGTTCTGCGGCAAGAGATATGTATTAAGCGTTGGTCATCCGCATACCGTGTCCAAGCTATCCTCTAGAGGCATAGGTAGAGGAGAATAAGCAATTAGTAGTGTAGTAACTTAGTCTTATTTACTGCGATGAACAACGCGTCAATTGATTTTATCTTCAGCTGCTACTGTCCCAAAATTGTGGTTAAACCAGTGATAAACGAAGCAGAACTACTGTCACGATGCGGATAGCCGTTTGACTGCTCTTGCTCCTGGCTCAGGGCAGCAGGGCAGTGAGGCACTGTGCTGGACGAATGTGCGGGACATTTGACGGTGGGAACAGGCACGGTGTAAGCGCCAAGAGAGCCATAAACGGATTCCTATACAATTGAACAGATAATAAAAAGCGGAAGCCGATTTCGCTAGGGACTGTAGCAGGTTAGTTCCTCGCTTTCTCATAGCAAATACTCGGCGCCCGTGACCATCTTTTGGGGGACTTTGATGGTTCCGTACAGCTTCGGCACGGCAGGCTGTTACTGACAGGACGTTGATGTTGGCAGTCCCGGCCGGCAAGGCAGGATCTGTAATGACACTGGCACCGCAGGTATCGTACAGAACTCGCAATTCCCTGCGATTCCAGCTCTCCAGCCTCTCCCTCGATTCTGGTCATTTGCCACCCATAGGGTCGTTGGGCTCAGCCGAGTATATCGTGCCATAATTACCGGGTTTAATCAGGGAATTGAAGACTTCGGCAATGCGATACCAAAAAATAATTCTTCGGCTGGAAAGTCCAGTACAATACCAGAAGTGCCCGATCGAGGTCCAGGAATGATGACGTTTTTTGGAATCGGGGATCGGTGACGACGCTGCAAAATACCGACGTCACCACTTTATTGCATCATTTTCATCAGGAATATCGAAGGCGAAAATGACACAATCCCGCATACAAAAGGATGGTTTGTGGGATACGCAAAGCTATATATCTTACCGAGAACTGCGGTCATTCTGTCGCAATTTTTGATTTGATCCAATAGACTATGGCCTTTGCTCTCAGACTGAGAACCGTCAGACCAATTTCACAGAGAATCACATTTCAAGTTTCGACCATCAGAATGCAGTCGACCAACGAGTACGGGCAGGGCAAGTCCCACGCCACCGGCGAGTCCAAGGTTCCAGGCAAGGTCCAGCAGGCCGCCCCTGAGGGTCTCGAGAAAGCTCTTCCAGACAGCGTATGGAACTTTCATATTGACTAAACGTCCGAGAATTGTTCTAACAAAGTTAATTCAGATTCACCCGACAGGCAAGGAGCCTGGTCAGAGCACGCACAAGACACACGCGAAGGATGACGGCAACGCGTCCATTGTCCCCAAAAAGCTTCAAGAGAAGCTCCCCGAGTCGGTGGAGCGGGCTGTCCCCAACATTATCCACGACACCGGCAAGAAATAGGCTTGTTCAGCAAGTTGCGCAATAGTGCCTTTGGAATGGGCTGCGGAGCTTTGAATGTTTTTGTACTTTATTATAGAGTTGATATCCAACAGGGTATTTATTCATTCTGAAACCTGAAGCTGTTGCACTCGAAACTTGGCAGCAGATGTTAACTACTCACTGATAATATTCACTTGAGCCTCTAGTGCTTCATTGGCGCATTCACGAAATTACCTAAATGAAGGGAGGAGGGAGGTATAAGTTATGAACCGCAACACAGGTCTTTCCACTCATCCATTACAGCATCTTCTTCCAAACATCTCAACTCGACCAGACTAAATGGCCCCTCGATACTGTCCTTCCCAAATTTCTCCGCTCTCACCCTCCTCACCTCAACCGTCATCCTCTCACCACCAGTAAACACACACACCTTCTCCCCCCCCCAGCCAGCGTCGTCCGGGACGCGATGAACGCTCCGAACGAGGCCGTTTCCCTCTCCGCCACCAGCGCGGCTCGTTCCAGATTGTTCGTCTCGCGCAACACCTCCACCAGCGACGCGGGTAGGCTGCGCTGGTTGCTCGCCGCCAGCCGCTGCTCCTGAGTGTGCACGAACGCGAGCATGGCAATCAGCCGCTGCAGGCATTACGCACTGCTTAAGACATTTCACTGCCGTCACATTCTGATTTTCAGATGCTTGAACAGTACGGAATCGCCTTGACATGGCCATCTCCTTCAGCCCACGGCAGCCGAAACAGTTTCGACAGGCCAGGGCAGGCAGGCAGCATCGAGCAGCATCCGTTGGCCGCGAGTTCGCTCGGGAGGGCCAGTGCGGGTGCTTGAAGTTAGGAATGGTAAGGTCGGCCAAGCTGTCGAGGCATTTCAGGAAATGGGTCATGTCCCACTGGCGGCGTTGGGTGGGACGGCGCCTGGGAAAGGGAAATCGCCATCCGGGAGGGAGAAGGACGTCGTGTTGTTGGGGCTGCCATAAGAAATGATGCTGTCGATGCGGGCATCGCTGGCGGTTCGGGTGTAGCCGAAGTCACCGATGTAGAAGTTCGGGAGCAGTCGGGGGGAAAGGAGGAGGAGGGATCTTCAAATTGGGCGAAGACGTTGCCAGAGTGCAGGTCGCAATGGTACACGGGCTACGCGCCGGCGTGGTACATGATTTGGAGAGTCTGGCTGGCCTGGCTGATGGCGCGTGCTATCAGATTGACAGGAAACAGGTGCTGCTCGACGCCAAATGAGCCCGTGGCGAAAGTGGCTCTCCAGTTCCGCGCCCAGTCGTCCAAAGTCTCCGCGTTGCAGAGTGTCCAGTAGCTAACCCGCAAGCACTCCTCTCTGGGCCGAGGCCTGCCGGACGTATTGGGAATGTTCTCGTGTGAGAAACATTGCGCCCAACGTGTGGTGAAGGCGGGAAAGGGGTGAACGTGGCTATGGGCGAGGACGTTGAGGTGGTCGAGGATGCGTGTCTCTCGGTCTTCAGGAATGTCAGCCAGACCATACACGTCGTTCAGGGACAGTCTCTACCTGCTTACCTTTCGGGCGACAACCACTTGGGTGAATATGTTTCCCACCAGCTGCACTACGCTCTGTGAGCCTATTCCCAGGTTTCGGAGGAAGATGTACGACTCACCCGACATGGCGTCGAAGACGTAGCGTAGCCGGGTGTTTCGGTTTGGACAACGCCGGCGCGAAAAGACGAGAAAATGTTGCTGTAGGTTTTCTGTTGGTGTGAGACTCCTAAATCGTGCAAAAGATGCAATGGGACTGCTGATAGTATCGTATTCTACATGGCAGAGGAGGTACCTAGTTTCGATACATTCAGCTCCCCTATCTGTGGATGGTACACAAAAAGACTTCCGTAGTACTCAGGACGAACATAAAACCCTGTTTTTGAACAAGGTGACTTAACTGAACACGGAAACTGGCATCCAACATGAACAAGTGCTCCTGATAGATACCTCTGCACGCAAATCAAGAAAGGGGCTGCCTTGGCAGCAACAGCAGCTTACAGTTGTCATTGTTCAATCTCAATGTTTTCATCGCCCACTTCAGGGGATGTAAGTTGACTGCAACAATGGGATTGTATGACATGACCAAGTCAGCACAGCCCACATCGGATGACCTATCTCTATGCCCACGATTGTTGCATGTGGCACCTGACGGAGACCGACTTCTCACCCCTGAACGCCAACCAAGCATCTGCATGTTTGTACGGATTAGACCGAGGGACAACGGCCACGACCACGCTCGGCGCGAACACCCATAACATTAGCAACGTTCCAGACACCGAGCTGAGCAACAGCATCGCAAATCTTACTCCTGAGATCAGACAGTGATTGTACCCAACTCGGAAGGAAACAGGTCATCTCTGACCAAACCAATCACCGCTTCGGGTCGTTCCAGGAGAAGCAAAGAACAATATCACGTAGACTTGTGAAGAGGGAGATGGTAAGGTAGTCTACATTAGGTAGATATTGAACTCAGGCTTGCAGCGGCTTTCTTCCGCTGGGTAAATCTCCTATGTCCCTGTCTCGAAAACGCAACTCTGGCTAAATCAACATCATTCTTCCCTGATCCAAGCCAATTAACTCTCGGGCAATGAACATCCGCCGGTCCATGTTACCCTGGCACCTACAAAACCCACGTCAAGGATGAGCCTTCTGGTTTGGCTTCATCCATTTCGGGATTCACCGTTCGCGGCCAGAGTTGCTTGATATTTCACCATGTTGTCCGTGACTCGATGGGCCGCCATTGCTGCCTCGCTCCTGCCTTTGACCCCGCGTGTCGTCGCCGTCACGACATTTAGGTCTGATCTGAACCAGGATGCCCTCGCTGCACGAGCGGATGATGGCTGGCATTGGGTGGCCACCTGGACGTCCATGCCGCAGTTGGTGGAGCAGAACAACATGCCTCCCTCGCCATTCGTATGTATTCATGGACTTCTATAGCTCGTGGCTCTGTCGTTAGAGGACGGTGACACTGACGGTTGACATAGACGGGAGGTGGCGGCGTCTTCAAGGACGCCACGCTGCGTCAGACGCTGCATCTCTCCATTGGAGCCGAGCGTCTGCGAATACAAATCAGCAACACCTTCGGCGGCAGCGACCTGCCCATTTCGGCCGCGTCCATCGCACTCCCAGCGGGTGGCAAAGCCGGTGTGGCGGGCATCGACCCAGCGACCCTCAAGCCCCTGACTTTCAACAACGGCTCGGCCTCCATCACCATCCCGCGCGGCCAGGTCGTCTACACGGACCCAATCGACTTCAAAGTCTCCTCACAAACCAACATCGCCGTCTCCCTCTACTCCCAAGCAGGCCAATCCGGCAACGCCATCACAGGCCACCCCGGCAGCCGGACGACCTCGTGGATGCAGTCAGGCAACCGCGTGGCCAGCGCAACCCTCTCGGGCGGCACCAAAACAGTCCACTGGTACTTCCTCTCGGCCGTCGAGGCCTGGTCCCCACCAACCGCCCACGCTTTCGTCATTCTGGGCGACAGCATCACCGACGGGCGGGGCAGCACTGACGACGCCAACAACCGGTGGCCAGACCTCCTCCTAGCGCGCATGCAGAAATCCAGCAGTCCCAACCTCACGCACATGATCGCCGTCAACAACCAAGCAGCCGGCGGCAACGCGGTTCTCTCGGGCGGGCTGGGCCCGACGCTGCTGTCGCGCTACAAGCGCGACGCGCTCGCAGTGGCCGGAGTCAAGTATGTCATGATCTTTGAGGGGGTCAACGATATTGGCAGCGGGTTCACGGACGCGGGAACGCAAAATAGCATAGCGTCGCGGCTTCAGCAGGCGTTTGAGCAGATCGTGCGGGACTGCAGGTCTGCGGGCATCAAGACGATTGGCGGCACGATTACGCCGTTTGGAGGGAGCGGACAGAGCTACTCGAACCCGACGAGGGAGCAGACGCGGGTCAAGGTTAACGAATGGATCTTAAAGAGCGATGTGTTTGATGCCACGGTGGATTTCGCCGCGTTGATTGGGGATCCGTCGATCAAGAGTCAGTTGGCGAGGCAGTTTGATGGCGGTGACCATCTCCATCCTAATGTGGCTGGGTTCCAGGCCATGGCGGATGGGTTTCCGTTGGGGTTCTTTGACTGAACAGTTTGAGCTGGATGGGTGTTCAGCACTGGAAAGAAACGGGACATCAGAGCGGGAAAAGGTAGTTAAGGAGTACCCCGGTACGGTGTAGCGGTACCATGATATGAGACATGCTGCCCAGTGATGGCTAGTTGGGCCGGCTCGTATATTTGGGGTTGGTCATACTACCTTGAACTAAATAAGAACTGAGCAGGCGTGAAAGGCAGCAAAGACTCAAATACAGTTGCTAGACAGTTAACCTTGGCGATGTTCCAGCGCTCGTACCTCATCATCCAGCAAGTCTTTCGACCTGGCGGAGCGGCTGGTGACGGATGCCTTGAATGGCAAGACAATCCTGCAACGGAGTCAGTGACTATAGTCAGTAAGCATTTGGGGTATGGGCAACTCACGCCTGGCCCCTGAATGACCATTCCGGCTCAAAGGGCTCTGGCTTGCCATCGGCGCCCACGGGCCAGTCGATATCGACTGTGGCGAGCAGCAAAGCCAACACAATGAGAAGGCTATTCTCAGCCAGGTGTTTCCCGATGCAGATCCTACACTCGCCAGTCAACATCCATTGCCACAGAGCCATTGGCCTGAGTAATACCATTGGATCGCTTACCGCCTTCCAAAGCCAAAGTTGCCCACTGGCAACGGCTCTCCGTTTCCGCCTTTCTCCCTGGGCAGATACCTCTCGGGCCAGAAGCGAAATGGCTCAGCGTATACAGACTCGACGTGACACATGGCCCAGACGTTGGGGTAGACAATCGTCTCCTTGGGGATGGACATGCCGTTGTACACATCGTCGGCAATGCTGGCATGTGGGATACCCAGCGGCGAGAGGGGGTTCATTCGGTACGTCTCCTGCAATACCAAATTCATGTATGGTAGGTTTGGGATGTCGTCCCAATGGGGCAGCCTTTTGCTTCCCACAACTTCATCGACCTCCGTCTGTGCTTTGCGCTGCACGTCGGGATTTTGCATGAGGTAGAGGACGAGGAGCATAACAGTCGCTGCCGTCTATCATGATTATCAGCAGCTTGCCCGGTTCATCCGACAGCATGCGTCTTACGGTATCATTGCCCGCGATGACGATGGTTGCTGCTGCGCCTTTGATGTCGTCCAGATCAAAGTCATTGGCTACCCCCTTTTGAGCATTCTCGTTCCAGATAGCCATCCTTGTGTGAACAAACGACTGGTTATCTGCTCCCGAATCCTGGAGAGCACGGTCAGTAGGCTTAAGTCAAGTTCAGGGGAGCTGGATGAAAGTCGTACAATCTGCCTCAAGGAGGCTTCAAACGGCAACCTTGTAAGCTTCTCAATGGCAGGCCGCCAAGTGCGAGCATAACGGAGCCTCTCCATGAAGGGAAGCCAGTCCGGTAGATGGCGAGCTGCAACAGCTGTTGTCAAAGTCTGTCGATAGTAATCAAGCCCATACGGTGACATGGACTCACTTGCCGGGAGCCGATCCATGATGGAGCTCGCTGGTGCGCCCGATTTTCCGACTGCGTTGGCGGTGTCGTCGGCCATTTGAATCCACGGACTACTCGGCCCGTCTACTTCCAAGCCATAGGCGATCTTCAGCACAACAGCCACGGAGAACCTCCTGACCGAGTTCACCCAGTCTACGGGTTGGTCCATCATGCCCTTGCAGCAGACGAGGGCTTCCTTTCGCTGTAGAGCCATGTGCTGCCCAACTTTCGCTTTGGTGAATGGCGGCTGGAGGACCTTACGGTGAAGCTGGTGTTTGGGACCCCAACGGAGCCATGTGAGCGTCGGGGACCAGCCCATCATGTTTCAGTCAGTGAGCGTATTGTACATGTTCTGCTGACGAGCGGCTGATGCTTACTCCTCGAACATGACGAAGCGCGGACGGTCGGCGTGTGTTGATCCCCGTCTTTCAAGGAGTTCCGTCGCGGCCTCGAGGCTGTTCAGCACCACCCACCTTGTGCCAAACGTCTGAAAGAAGAGTACGTCGCTCTCTGTGACGATTGCAAGGGTTAGTTAGTCCAGCCAGATAGAAGAGAATGGAAATTTATTTTTGCGTTATGTACTGAAATCGGCCGCCCATTCGGCATAACGTTGGAAGGCAGCATCTTCTGGGACAACACGGTAGTGGCCCAACAGCGGTTCCGGTGCAGGACCAGGCGGGAGCGGGGGTTTGCGAGTCTTGGGCTCCTTCAGTGCACCATACGCCGCGAGGAAGATGACCACAGCCAGTCCGAGAAGAACCTCGGCACCTGGGAGGTATTGGGTGAGGACACAATGTATCAATTTGCCCTCCATGATGTTCTGGTGCTGGGGAGCGCAAAAGGTTCCTTGCTTGGGGGAAGTTTGCAGTTCGCTCCCCACCAGAGAGAAGCGGAGGCACTTTGCCGTAAGGTATTGTTTGGTAGCTTCACTTGTTCTCGAATATGGTAGCGGGGGTGGGGCACGAGGAATAAGGTACCGAAGAACCGTGAACGGCAGCTGCCACTTTTCGGGCGGATCGCTGCATGTGATGAGGCGCCGGTAGTCGCCCTCGTGCCGTCCCATTCTGAGGCTCGCTACCTCATTTAGGAAACCATCGTTCATGCTATGGCTTCTCCGCCGACTTCACTACCTACCTTATTCTTCGATTCCCAAACGACCGCGCTTGAAACTTTCAGCCCCAAACTCGAGTCCCACACCAGAGTCCAAGATACGATTCCAATTTCAATTTCGATTCCCAAACAGAGGTAGAAACTTTCAGCCCTAAACCTGATTCCAGAACGGAATCCTAGATACGATTCCGATCTCAATTTCTTTCCTTGAAGTAAGTCCCAGTCCCTGCCCCATTATATGCCCGATCAAGGACATCAAGTTCTATTTCTATAAGCACAAGGTGGCAAGATCGACCGAGAGGAAGAAGGCATAGATCTACCTCAAGGTAATCTTGATCTAGTCTGGTATTGTCAAGGGTAGTGACAGTGTGAGGTTCATGTGCGCAACTCCTGGTTCGACTGGACAGTTCGAACCACGGTCCCTCTTTTGAGGGTGTTACGCAGTGGTCAGTTGCGCCCACCCGTGACAGGTATTAAATAACTACTCCTATATCTTATGCTGTAATAATATTACTGATACTACCTCTAGAAGACCTAGAACAGGAGCCTACGGATAGTGGCCGGGGCCTATAAGTCTATCCCAATCCGACACATTGAGGCCGAACTGTGGGTTCTTCCACTAGACCTCTTGTCACGGCGATTGCGCAGCGCCTGCCAGAACCCACGGGTGGGCCCGTGCGTGTGGGAAGCACGGGCCCCTACCAGTTGAAGATCCTGCACCTCGCTGCCGCGAGTTCTGTTCGTAGCTCCTTGAGCTACGTCTTGACAATCAAGCTGTTGGAAGACCAACAGCCACGATTCCACGGTGATCACACAGATGATGGGAGCTTACAACAGTCAGATTTGAGATGCTCGGAGCATCCCAGATGTTCTTGATTGAAGGTTGTTCTTCTCACGTCTCCAGCGAAGGGGGAATCGCTCTGACCTCGTTGCCCAGCGCCCTGGTTACCCCTCACGTTGACTGACGCTCAGTTGGGCAGCCATGCATCCAACAGCAGGGCACTTGCAGCTGAGCGTCCGAGTTTCCAGTACCACGACTTTCCAACACAAATTACACTCTAATCAGAAGGAATAGAATTATTCCATTAGGTGAACCCGCCAGTTTAGGCTTTCAAGGTTGACGATGTTATGTAGGAACCAGGGCTCCTCAACCGCTAGCGCTATCCGCTTGGGGATTAGCTGCCCCTGTCCGTGGTGGAGCTCCCCCACAACTGGCCGTTCCGCGACCGCGTCAAGTTCCGACCTTGGGCCAGGGCGTCCTGATTTCTGTTAACTTCTCTAAACCTCCACTCTCGTTCCCAACTTTCCTCTCCTACTGTCCAGCAACTTGCTCCTTTGCGAGCAGTTGGGGTTCCGCTCATTACAGCACACGGTAATTCCACTGACCGCGGCTCACTCTTTGAGCACCCCCCCCGTCCATTCGTTCTTTGCTCCGTCAACTGCTGGCACGCTCAAAACCGACCTCACACCATGCCTACCAAAGGCCACCATCGGTCCCGATCGTCAATCGACCGAGTCATCGATCTGCTGGCAGATCTCGAAGAGAACCAAATCGCCCTTCTCCTGGAGGACCTGAACCACACTACCTCGAGCAATGTACCCGTGTCGGAGGCAATTACCCTCTTTGAGCGGCATGCGAGCACGAGGAGGAGGTGCCGGTCTCCTTCTCCATTGAGGACCCTGCAGGTCGAGCTGGAGCGACGTCACAGCAAGAGGCTTTCTTCGGCTCCAGAACCACGGTTCCCCTCGAAGACCCAGGCGTCCCAACCCCCAACTCTGCGTTACCAAGCAGCCTCGCCGCCACCACCCGTCGAGTTGTTCGATCGACACATCCACACCGACGGTCCCTCGCCGACACACTCTTCCCCTCCACCTTCTCCGCCTGTCCAGATCGACCGCCTCAAGTCGTCGTCCGAACCATCCGCGAACTTCCGGCCCCGTTCGTACAAGAGAATCTGCCGGCCTAGCTTCCTTTCTCCAACTGCGACGGCGGAGCTTCACCTTCTCTTATTAGCCTTCTTCAACGAAGCACCCGTCTCGCCAAGCACGACGACAGCCACGCCGTCGCCTACCACGCCTATCTTTGGCTTCTCCCATTCTCCCTTTTCTGACCTGGAACCCGAACCGAGCATGCCGGGCCTGGATCTTCTGGAGCCCTCACCCATTCGGACACCCAGCTTCTCGGCCGGCCGGTCACTCAAGACGATGCCCAGCATCGGCAGCATATTCGAGGCTTATCGGTCACAGTAGACCCATTGTAATCTGAGTTTTTGTAGCATTAGCGAGCGTTAGGTTGTACGATGGAGATCGGGAAAATGATGTCCGAGCTTCGACGCTCTCTGTTAACCGCTGAGAGCATTTTCTCACCCCGTTCTGATCTTGGTTGACCGCCCTCCCGGCTTCATGTGAGACCCGTCGTTTCGGTACCCAGTCGTCGATTTCACGCTATGAGACGTAGTAGTTCTCATCACACGCCCGTCCCGCTTGTTCACTTGAAGGTTTCGTTCTGTTGTCTAAGAGGCTGTCGGCCGGTGGAGTATGGCTCGCCGGGCACGAAGTCAAGAAATGAATCGTGAAGGAAACCTGGATGCCATGATATGTATGGCCTACAATCCGTTTACCAGTAGTATCTTATCACCACAGATGCCGGCCCAAATGGCCAAGGTAGCAGCTACCTACTGGCCGGTACGAAGCTGGATCTTGCCATCTTCACAGACGAGTGTGTCAGCAAGGGGAGTCGGATATGCCACCCCAGCAGTACATTGACCAAACCAGTAGTCCTCGATGCAGACCACCGACCCATTCTCAGTACAAGGGTACGGCCTCGCGGCAGCCAGTGTCTGCTGTTCCGTAATCGTCACGGTCTTGGCCGTCACAGTCTTGGTACAGTAACAACCTTCTGAGTGACGGTAACAGTTCGTGTCGACGTTCTCACACCATTCTTACCAGCAGCACTGCTCACCAGCGTTGTCGATGAAGCGGCTGTGGCAGAGGACAGTGTAAACGAGGCTGGAGAAGCGTCACCGTTCCCACCTTGCCCCTCGAAGACAGCAGGCGGCGCAACAGGGCAATTCGCCCTCGCCTTCGGATCCGGCTCCATCATCGGCACGCCATGACGTCCCGGGTTGGGAATATTAATCACCCCATGATCACCATTCCGACTCGTCGTACATATGGTAAACCCCTTGATATTTGCCAAGCACATCACCGGCAGCTCCTCCTCGACAAACCGCCTCCCTGCCCCGGATCCTCCACCCCGCCGACAACCGTGATGGGAGCACACATCATGTACACCTCGTCCTTGGTAATCCGGTTGTACCAAGTCCACGCAAACGTCGCGTCCCTGTTCGACAGGCCCTTGGGGATGGGAATTTTATACTGCCGGATACAGTCGACGCCCTCGTCATCCCCGCAGTGCACCGCATCCCGGACCTGGCGGTCGCCGTAGCCTCTAAAAATAAAGGCGGCTCCTCCAAGTTTCCAGCCGTCGACACAATCTGGGTGGGACAGCCGCCAATGATAATATAAATGGCGCGCCAGTTGGCAGGGTCTGCCGTGTACGCCGGTAATCCGTTCAAATTGATGCCAAACTGGCAGGAGCCGCCTCCATGGGTCGCCGAGCCGGTGAAGTTGTCGAGGGTTGTCAAGCCAGCCGTGACGACAGTGCGATGGGCGACGTGGGTCATGCCCTGACAGGGATATGGGAGCCGTCCGCCGGCCGGATCGATCGGCCAGGTCATGGCCAGGTGCGGGGAGAACGGGATTGGGGTGTTCATGAGCATGTGGGCGTGGGTGGTGAGGGTCGGGAGAATTGCCGTGAGAAGGAGGCGGAGGATCGTTATTTTGAGAAGTCGTTGGCAGTGGATGACGTCCGGTTGATTTTTTTTTTTTTTTTTTTGTAGTGTGTCGTAAGGGTCGCTGAGGTGAGTCGAGCGCGACGATGAGAGAAAGGAGTAGAAAAGAGCTCCATGGGCTTTTACATCGACTGCAAGCATGGCAAGCAGAGCCTGAAAAACCATCTGTGTTCACCACGGTATGGCTTGTTCCAAGTATGGAACTTATAATGGATTTGTTCAACCAGACCGAAAAAGGATCAGCATACCAACAAAGAGGCTGCGTATCGGAGACACATTTGAAGCCGATCCAAAGGACCAAAGACTGTAGGTTAATTGATTCCGGGTATAGTGCTCTAATCGTAGGGTGCTGTTACAGTGTTCATACAATCCTCCTTTCCAACAAGTCATATGGTCGGCGTTTCGTGTATTGAGTGGTGTTGTGGGAGACTGCTCAGAGTGCGCCGCCCAAAAGCTGCACAATCATCATGGCAATGCGTACTTTGAACCCAACTCGCCGGTCAGCCTTGGCAAAGTCGTCCCGAGTGACGATGCTCGTGTGCTCCTTCAGCCACCGCTGTTCCTCGCCTAGACGCTTTTTCAGTTCCTCATTCTCCGTCACAACCAGGGCATTCGCCTCCAGATCCAGTGAATAACTCCGCTTAGTGTAGTTGGAACTACCGATGAGGCTGATAGATGGGTCTTCGCTTCCGGGGAGGGTCACCCAGAGCCCTTTTGCGTGGTATGTCCAGCCGCCCGGCTCGCCGACGGTGCCTCGGCGCCACTCCCGAAGCACTGTCGAGGCTTCACGCTGATTATGGTGAACAGCTCTAACGAAACGGCGCGCAAGAAGAGTGTAGGCATCGGGGAGTAACCCTGATACCCCGGGTGACTTGTAGAAGCCATTGGCAAACGGCGAGGCTGTGATGACCGTGTTATTGTGTGACTGGGCAGAGAGCAGCAATTTTGTGAGTGAAGGCGCAGGGTTGAAGTAACCCGCAGTAAAGGTCCAGGACGAGTTGGCGTATTGCGGTAATGAGAGGGCCTTCAGGATATGTGTGACTGCCGGGAGTTCTGTTGACGTGTCTGGGGATAACAACTGCGAGAACTGGGTGAGCATGTATACGGAAGTATCCGGCTTCTCCTGCGGGATGGTGTCATGTGCGGTCAGGGGCGCCGTTTTGGGGGATATCAAGCCAGCTAGGAGAGAAGTCGACTCTTTGACGAACTGCTTAGGGTCTTCTAAGGGCGATGGAGCAGCGTTGTCCTCAGGCCAGACCATCTCGAACCCTGCCTGGGACTCTGACGGCTCGATGAGGAAGCTCAGCGACGAGACAGCATCCTGTATGTTCGCAAAGTACTCGGTGACGTCCTTTGAAGAGAAGAGGTGGTATCGGTCCTGCCTGTTGGTGAAGTAATCGCTGGACAGGTTGGCGCCGGAGAGGATAATCTCGTCGTCGACACCGTACAGCTTCATGTGCTGCAGGCCCCAACCCTCGTTGATCCGCTTCGGCACGTACTTCTTCTTCAGCCCTGTCAGGTTGGGCGTGTGGTACATGCGGATCTCGACACGCTCAGGGCCAAACTCGGCAACCAGGGGGGCCAATAGCGATGCGCAAGACGGGTCTGGAGCCTCTCGGGTTCCTCGAAGGGCGTCTGTGAGGATGCTGAGCCTGAGTTCGGGCTTCGCGCGGAGCGTCTCTTGCAGCGTAGTGATCTAGATTCATCAGCATGCAGTACGGCCACATAAACCCCGGCTGGCACGAACCAGTTCCCTTTCCGACTTGCCGATGTAGAGGGTCGAGAGGAAGATGCGCCGTTCAGCGTTGCGAATTTTGTGTTTAAGGGTCTCGTAGAACTCGGCGGGTGACTGGAGGACGCGAATCTGAGCGCCATTAATCTTGAACGAGGGCGCTATCTGGTCCAGCTCGGCCGTGAACGGCGCAAGCATGCCGGTACTCGACATTGGCGGAGACCCCGGCGTCGGCCCGTTGGCATTCATTGAGAAGCGTCGACATTGCGGCCTCGCGAGCCGTACCAAAGGCCGCGAGACGGGAGCTCTGAGCTTATTGAAGCATCGCGTAGCGCTCCTGGCCAGCATGGCCGCAGGGACGGAAACCGGGACTGATAATGGGCGCTTGCCGCAGGGATCTCAGGAGTCTCGTCTGAATTTTGTATCTTCAGTGTTGAACTTGCCGAGCCAGTTCGCCAGCAATTCGAGCCGGACAGTTGTAAGCAGGTCTTGGAGCAGGGCCCTGGCTCCTTGCAGCCTTGGCATTGGCAATTGGCACGGAAAATCCCGGCGCAGCTCCACTGCGTCAGTTGCTGCATCTTCCATCAATGCTTCGAATTCAACCTCGCAGCATCGCGCCGCGATTTCCCAATCCGCCGCAGCAACCATGTCGACCATCGCAAGGACTCTCGGCAATATCCGCAAGATTGGCCTGAAGGTTTGACTCCCAAGCAGCCCAGTGACTAGAGCAAAACACTGAATGCGACCGTAGGAATACTGGCACCAACTCAACGTGAGCTTCGTCCCTCGACCCCTCCAGCCACGAACCCGCCGCTAATCTGGCCGACTCTCGACGACAGTATATCGGTATGATTGGACATATGCCATTGCTCCGGCTACAAGTCGGCGACTGACGATGGACACAGGCGATACCAAGGCCGGTGTGTTGGTCGGCACCGACAGGTTCGGCAACAAATTCTACGAGAACAGGGAAGAGCTGCCGCGTGCGTTCATCGATCCGCTCATATCCACACGCCCGCCAGCCCGCTCTTGTTAACTGACTTCTTCGATTGACAACAAACAGTCCGCACAAGATGGGTCGACTACGCCAAGCACGACTATGATGCGTACGCTTCTGAACCTGACCCCCTCTCCCCTCCTTGTCTGGGATCATCGAGATTGACAACTAGCGGGGTATGAAGCGGCCATATTGAACCTCTCTGGCACGCCTGGATTTCGTACATGGTCGAGACGCCGCCGAACCAGGACCCGATCGTGACGGCGGCACCAAACCGGCCATGGGCGCCCAAGAACCACACTCCCAACTTGACGTTTACCCGCGGTGCTTACAAACCTTATAGCACGTTGGTTTTCATCCTTCCTGAAACGCGTGTGGACAATTCTGTGCTGACGTAGGAATAGCACGAAGCCCAAGGTGCAGTCGTGGGAGCCCATCGCTGCGCCGAGGTAGGATGATGTGGCGTGGAGGACGACAGCAGTAGGTGCAGGGATGTATGTACGGTCTCGGAATCAATCAACGATGCAATCCTCCAGCGGACCCAGCTCTGTTATGGCATGTCGCTGTGAGGTTGACTTCTTGATGTACAGGAAACGTTCGTCAACGTATCAGGCTAGATGTGGGGATCGGCTCAAAGAGCCTCAGGTCCTGCATGGGCTGTATACAGGTAAGACCAAGAGGAAGGGCCATGGCCGTGGAAGAAACGGGATACGACAGCTCCTCGTACAGTCGACATGGTTATGAGGTTAGTCAAGCGCTTCTTCCATTGTCACTTTCGATCTCAACTAGTCGCGATCGTCGTCACCAAAAACCAGACCGCCTGCCAAAGAGAAACCTACGTCCGCCAATGCAGAACTCTGCGAAGAGAACTAATGCAGAAACAGGAATCAAGCCCTCTGCTCTCCTCCACGTCTAAGAACGACAACTCAACGCATGCAGCATGCTCTTGCTCTTGCTCTAACGAAGAAAGTAGCCAACAGAAAAGTGCGTATGTACGGCGCGCCAATATCCGCATAAGCTCATCCTATTTGAGTCGGGCTTCGATGGCGGCTTTGATGGCTGTAGCACAAGAAGTCAGCTCCGGCCCTGACCACTCTCATTACTCCTGCTTGGGGACTGCGTACCCTCCGTCGTCACTCTGGCATCTCCAAACAGCATCCTCGTGCCTGGCATGTAAAACATCGGGTTGGGGACGTCCGCTGTGTTGTCTCGGTCAGCACCACTCATCATATGCTCTTCACCGACACTGCTAGGATCTTACCATAACCGCTCGCCAAACTCCGCTTCATCACCACCACTTGCTTGCTCTTCCACGCATGCAGCACCGGCATTCCGGCAATCGGGCTTCCCGGCTCCAGGGCGATGGGGTTCACGGTATCATTCGCGCCAATGACAAGCGTCACGTCCGTCTCGCCAAAGTCGTCATTAATCTCGTCCATCTCCAGCACAATGTCGTATGGAACGCTGGCCTCGGCCAGCAAGACGTTGCACTGGCCCGGCATGCGCCCGGCGACCGGGTGGATAGCGAAGCGCACCTTGACGCCCTTGGACCGCAGCATGCGCGTGATGTCGGAGATGGCGTACTGCGCCTTGGCGACCGCCATGCCATAGCCGACGACGATAATGACCGACTCGGCGTTGGTGAGGGCCTCGGCTGTCTCCTCGACATTGGTCTGCGTCACGCTGCCTTCAATCTTGTAGTCGCTGGTGGTGGGCGTCGAGATGCCGCCAAAGAGGACGTTGACCAATGACCGGTTCATGGCGACGCACATGATGTACGAGAGGATCGAGCCAGATACGCCGATGAGCGCGCCAACCGTTGTGAGGAGCGGGTTGTCCAGCATGAAGCCTTCTGCTACGAGCGCGAAGCCGCTGTAGGCGTTGAGCACTGTTATGACGACGGGCATATCCGCGCCCCCGATGGCTGCCGTGGTGGTGTAGCCCTTCAGGAAGGACATGACCGTGTTGGCGGCAAGTGCACCAGCGGCGATGAGCGGCGAGCCAGGGGCCATGGTCACAAAGGCACCCATGGTGGCGACGTTGGTCGCGAGCAAGCCAGAGTTGATGACATGTCGTCCTGGGAGCATCAGCGGCTTCGAGGACATCTTCCCGGCGAGCTTTAGGAACGCAACGATGGAGCCGGTAAAGGTGATACCGCCGATGAGAACGCCGAGGTAGGCCGTGACCAGGTGAAGTGTCGACACGTGGGCAATATCAGCCATGACGCTGCCGATGCTTGTTAGGACCGCGGCAAGGCCCACGACCGAGTGGAGGGCAGCAACAGTCTGAGGCAAGTCGGTGGGGGTGATGCGCTTCCCAATCAAGAAGCCCACGATGCTGCCAATGGCCGCCAGTCCTCCAAACTGAGCCAGGACCTCGGGAGAAAAGCCAACCGCCAGAAGGGAAGCAAGAACACCAGAGCCCACGCCCAGGATACCCAACATGTTACCCATGCGAGCCGTCGCCTGAGATGCCAGACCAGAGATGGAGCTGATGCACAACACGGAGCTCACCAAGTATCCAGCTTGCACAAGGCCCGCCGCTCCCGTCGACGCAGCAGCGATGAAACCGCCTCCAAAAAGCACGCCCGGGATGGCATATAGCCACGGGTACTCAGGAGGGTCAGTCGGGCGTCGAAACATGTCGAGCATGCGCTTGGTGATGACGAAGCCACCGGCAATGTTCACAAAGGCCAGAAGAACCGAGGCAGCGCCGAACAGCTGGGGGAGGGTCTCAGGGAGATAACCGCCGCCGAGGATAAACAGACCACCAACGCCAACCATTCCAGATATGGCGTTGGTCACGCTCATCAGCGGCGAGTGCAGCGCCGGGGCTACGCCCCAGACGACGCGGTACCCAATCAGAGACGCCAGGGCAAACGTGAAAGCATTGCCCATGACCAGCGGTCCGGTGAGCTTGCCTAGGGCGAGGGCGGACCCCATGCCACCCGTCACCAACGTGACTTCCCGCGTGGCCTTCTGCCACGGGGTAAGCGCAACAGCCTCGGGCTCCTTCGGCGTGGCGGGCGCGGCGGCGGGAGCAGGCGGCGGGGCCGGCCGAGGGGCGGGCGGAAGGATTTCTCCGTTCTGCGTGACAATGGCCCCTCGGACGACCTCGTCGGTCAAATCCACGCCGTACTCCCTGTCCTTTGGAGCCATGGACAAGAGAAACTTGGTGATGTTGTTCGAGTACAGCGTGGACGATTGGGTAGGCAGCCTCGACGGAAAATCAGTGTATCCTAGGCAGGGTCAGCGGGGCGAATAGGGTTGGTAAGGCACTGGGAGGAGAGCTCACCAATGATCTTGACATCCTTGTAGGTGATCAGCTTGCCAGCTTCGGTCTTTTCACAGTTTCCGCCGGCCTCAGCAGCAAGATCCACAATGACAGAGCCAGGTTTCATGATTTCGATCATGGCCTTCGTGATCAGTTTCGGAGCAGGCTTGCCAGGAATGAGGGCTGTCGTAATGATGATATCGACGTCCCGAGCTTGCTCCGTAAAGAGCTTCATTTCGGCCTCAATGAACTCCTTGGACATCTCTTTGGCATAGCCGCCAGCTCCGGCTCCCTCTTCCTTCAGCTCCACCTCGATGAACTCTGCGCCGAGCGACTGGACCTGCTCACGGGCGGCAGAACGCGTGTCAAAGCCACGTACAATCGCACCGAGTCTCCTTGCAGTCGCGATCGCGCTGAGCCCGGCAACACCAGCGCCGATCACCAGAACTTTGCCGGGCGGAATCTTGCCGGCAGCGGTGACCTGGCCAGTCAGGAAGCGCCCAAAGCTGTTGGACGCCTCTAACACGGCCTTGTAACCGGCAATGTTGGCCATGCTGCTCAGCGCGTCAAAGACCTGGGCTCGGGAAATTCGCGGGATCATGTCCATGGCAAAAACGGTCGCCTTACGCGCGGCAAGCCTCTCCACCAGGGCCTTGTTCTGCAAAGGCTGGAGGAAGCTGATGATGGCCTGTCCCTCCCGCACGCAGTCGGCCTCCGCGGCGCTGGGTCCCCGCACCTTGAGCACGACATCTGCCTGGTTCCAGACGGCAGAGGCATCGTCGACCAGAGTAGCACCGGCCACTGCGTAAGCTTCATCGAGGAAGTCGGCTTGAGCACCAGCACCTTTCTCCACGAGAACCTTGGCAAACCCCTTCTTGAGGAGCAGGGCGACGTTCTGGGGCGTTAGTGCCACCCGCCGCTCGTTAGGGTACGTCTCGCGGGGCACGCCGACGCAGAGCCGGGCGTATGGCGTCGTCACGACGGTCGATTCCGTCGAGTAAGCTGCCCGACGGCGTGGCGGCAGCTGCGAAATCGGCGACGTGACCGAGGCATGGCGGAGCTGCAGGGCCCGAACCCCGGCGAGGGTGAGTGCCAGGCTGGTGGTGGAGACCGGCGGCGCCCGGCGGAAGGCGCAGGTGCTGTGCCAGGCATCCTTGCCGAAGGCGGCGGCGGCAAGGGCAGTTATGTATCGCCAATTGGCCGGGAGAGAAGCAGGTGCTGCATTCAAGTCAGTAAATGCTAAGAAGCTGGGGCGGCAGGGCAAGGTCCTCACCCAGAGCACTTGCTACGCTCGGAAGCGGGGTGTGCTGGACAGCGGGTTGCCAGATACGAGAGGCATTGTTGGCCAGGCCTGGCCGAAAGAAGGACCTCGACATGGTGGCTACCCGCGAGCGCTCGCGCGGTCGAGGCAGAGAGTGTGAGATGTGATCATGGGTCTACATCCGACGGCGCTGCGACAGCGAGCCACGCTGGCACTGGAGAAGAAGACAGCTTGACTAAGACGGTAATGGACGATGGACGACTGATGAGAAAGCTATGGCGAGCTAATATATATCCTCGTCGGGGACTGCCCGTACACAGACTGCAGTTAGCCGGTCACTTTTGTGTCACGGTGCCTGGGCGGGCGCACGACATCAAGGGCTTGCAGACGTCAAACCCATTGGAGGTATCCTGTCGTTCGTGAGAGCAAGAGAACGAAAGCTTGGGAACGCGGATAGTGTCAGAAGGTCCGCTCCCATTGCTCGGAGAGATCAACCAAGGTCACGAGACTCGTGTGCTTCGAGTCTGTGCTCGTTGGATAATGAGCATGTATGCATACCCCGCCCTTCCCGAACCGTGCGGGGTCTCGTCTCAACCCACGTTCTCACTGAGCGAGCAGCCGGGCGCCAAATACATCCCGAGAGATGCGCCTCGTTCGGAATGGTAGCCCAGACTTGGCTCTCAACACACTCAACGTGTGGGGTTTCTCTCTGACTCCCGAGCTGCCCAGCTTGCCGAGCTTGCCAAGATGCAGAACTCGTTCGAACTTGGTGATTTATGGGGCGAGGATGCGGGGGGTGGGACTGCGGGTCTGTGGAGCAGCTGCAATTTAGAGACCGTTCTTTCGTCTCTGGGCATTGGGGGGCGACAAACTCGCAGCTTTCCCATCCCGCCAAGACACCTCAAAAAATCGTCGATCCGAGTCCCTCAACTGGAGGGCATGTTGCAGTTCCTATTCCGCCCATCGGTCGCATTTTATTGGCGAGAGGACACATCTTTGTTGCAGGACATTGCGCCCACGGATCGAGCACAGCATCGATTGATTACTCAACCGGTCTTGTTCTGACAGTGCGCCACCCACCCGGGTCCCAGGTGCTGTCTGCCATCATGATCCCCGCCATGACCGCAGTGCACGGCTACGGCGAACGTACTGGCATGTTAATCCACAGCATACGAATTGCCAGCGCGCGAGATTCGGCAGCTCGGGCAGTTAAACGAATCGCTCCGATAGGCGGACGTCCCCGGTGTGACCATTCTACGCCCTAGGTTTGTGAAATTAAAGTATTACCCTGGTGCTCTAGAACCTGAAGAACACAGGAGGCTGAGTCTTGAATCTGGCTACCTGGTAGTCCATAAGTAACTGTCTTCGGTTGATATGTAAAAAACAAATATCTAGTCTTAAGGGAGAGCCCGTGGCTTGTGAAATAATTCAGTTATAGCAGAGATTATGTCCGGACAATGGGAGAGATATCGGTGCCTCAGAGGTTTCCAGCAGAGTGTCAAAGACGATGCTGCATCAGCAATGCCAGCATTTCACGTTGTGTGACTATCCCATAGGTCACTAACGATGTAATTACTTCATTTACGAGATCTCATCCAACCTCACGGTCAACATAGAGAACCAGTAGGTCAGGTAAAGAGAGCAGAAGTATTCTATGGCCAAATACAATCATCTCCAAGATTACCAGCCGTTTGTTTCTGTTCTTCCCAAGTCTCAATGCGAACGTTCGTTACGTGCTCTCAGCCGATATGAAACAGAATGGAAGGAAGTAGGAAGCCTGCCAGCCTAGTAATAAGAGCTCCCCAAATAGCCCTGTCCCGTGTTAGGGGCACGGTAGCTACCAAGGACTGCAGGAAGATGAATGGGCTATAAGAACCTGAAACCACCCGAGTCACATAAAATGAAATGGAGTCGTATTTACTAATCCTACTTCAAGTTTCCAATCAGGGCCTGAATCAACCATCATTATTCCTGTCTATACCTGTTGCAACGCCGCCCCAGCTGCAGCACTCTTCGATTCTTACGTAGATCGTTATCGTCATATGAGAACCTGGCTCTATTTATAATCATGCCTTCATTCTCATAAGGATTTTCAAGACAACCGGCTTGCTTGGTAGGTTGAGAACGGCCTCTGCTTACTGACGGTATGCTTGCTGGAAGTTCACAACACCATTCTCATCCCAAACCTGAGAGATGTCACCATGACTGCCAGTGTGCTTCCACAGTCTCACCTTAGCACAAAGGGACCAGACTGCATTGCTGGAGCCTGACCGTGTGTCTTCCGACTCGTCCGATGGATTACCCCTCCAGTATCTTCACGTCAGGCATGGCAACATGCCTAACGAAGCCAGCGCATCCCTCCACCTCAAATCGCATCGCGAGAACCTCACCGGTAGTACTGGGCCTTAGACCGAAAAGGTGCTGAAAGAACGGAGGATCCTCCCCAGTTTGTGCTTAGGGGCCGGGCATCACGTTTGAAAGCTAGCAGTTCAAGCGAGGCGTGGTGCTGAAGTTTTCTTGACACACGCGGATGATGCTGCTCCGTTTGGCAAGTGGCCAGCGAATCGTGTCGACAACGCCCATTCCTCCGCCAATCAACCCGCCCTGTTATGCCTGAGAGGTCACGCCGAGAAGGAGGAGGGCTTCCGCTGTGCTGCGTACGTGTGTGAGAGGGAAAATGGGAAGTGGACTCCTTGAGCATGTATAAGTATAGGTATGGACTTTGCTGCTCACCCGACTGATGTTGTGCTTCGCATCAGTCAAGAGCCAGCGGATTTACCTTATTTACGATGGCACCTTTGGCGTCTGTCGCCCTGGTCCTCAGCAGTCTGGCCAGCCTCGTGGCCGGCCATGGCTATCTCAAGAGCATCACTGTCAACGGCCAAAACTATCTCGCGTGGCAGGTCGGACAAGACGACTATGTGACCCCGACGCCATCTCGTTACGCCCGCAAGCTTGCCAACAACGGGCCCGTTCCCGACTTCTATACCAGCAAGGACATTACGTACTTGTCCCTACTCAACGCTCCATAAGAGCAAATGCTGATTTGCATTAATTAGCTGTGGTGTTGGGGGGAATATTCCTGCCGCGGGCGTCATCGAGCTGAAGGCTGGAGACACCGTGTAAGTCAACCACGACACCAACTCGAGCACCTCTCTGCTAACACATATCTTACTGTAGTACCTTCAATTGGGACCAATGGAACTCTGATGTCCGTTCAACCCCTCTCTCCATACCTCTTTATGACTGTCTTGAGGTTACCATGCTTCCAAGACTCACCATTTTTTCCCAAATCTCTCCCCACACAGCCGGCAAAAAAGAAATTCTTAGCTGACGTTATTGATAGCATCCTGGACCAGTCATGACGTGAGTGCCGATTTCACTCCTGCATTCCCCCTGATGCATTACTGACAAACCATCCTCTCCCGGACTAGGTACCTCGCCAAATGCCCCAACAACGACTGCAAATCCTTCAAGGGCGACTCAGGCAACGTGTGGGTCAAGATCGACCAGCTCGCGTACAACCCGGCCGCCAGCCCTGCGTGGGCGTCCTACCTGCTCCGCGACCAGGGAGCCAAGTGGAAGGTGACCATCCCGCCCAGCCTCGCACCGGGCGAGTATCTCCTGCGGCACGAGATTCTCGGCCTGCATGTGGCCGGCACGAGGATGGGCGCCCAGTTCTACCCGAGCTGCACCCAGATCCGCGTGACCCAGGGTGGGAGCACGCAGCTGCCCTCTGGCATCGCGCTCCCAGGGGCTTACAACCCTGATGACCCGGGTGTAAGTCTTGATATAACATGCCTAATCAGGATGTGTGCGAGCACTGACCGGAATGTGTCTTCAGATCCTGACTCACGTCTGGAGGATCAACCAGGGCCAGATCACTTACAAAGCCCCTGGAGGAGATGTTTGGAGCGGTGCGGCGCCCAATGCGAACAGGCCGGGTCCGTAAAAGGCGCGCGTTGTCCTGCTTGCGCGGCAGTTGGCCCAGCTCTTAGTGGCTCTGCGGAGGACGTTTCATTGGCTAGGTTAATAATGGCTTCAACAGACATTTTGCATTTCAGCTCCGCGGTAGTAGAGCTACTATTTTTAGCCACAGCCTGGAGGAGGGCCAATCACAACAGAAATTCTAAACTCACGCACCAGCATTAATGCCCAGTCACCCAAGTGCTGGCTGCAGCCCGCGACTTTCTCCGTGAAAATACCCTTCTCAGCAGCCCTCCCTGGCGGCCTCTCCTTCACCTTCCCATGGTCGCCATCGCCACCGGACTGTGGTGGGACTATTCCCGACCGGCCGTCCAGGCCGCGACGTTGACCTTGCCTTCAGACCTGGGCAACGTCCTTCTCTCAGGCCTCACCGTGCTAGTGACGGTAGCCGGCGTAAGCTTCTGGAACATCGCGGCCTTTGTTCTGCATAGTCTGCGCGTGCTGCCGGGTAGCGGGCCTGTCAGCGTTTTGTCTTTGCAGCATCGGGTCATCCTGCGAAACTCGCCCGGCGCCATCGGGACGGCGTGGGAGGCGGTCAAGATCTACCTGGCGTGGTACAGCACACGACCGCCCCGACTGTTTATGCGGACAATCGCGATAGTGGTTCCGGCGCTGATCATCTCGGCCGGCTTCGCAATAGCGGCGGTGTTTGTGTCGCACGTGGCAAGCAGGGCGAATGGGTTCGTCATCGCGAGGGCGCAACCTGAGAACTGTGGGTTTTGGTGGTTCGACCGCAATAACATTGATGGCGTGACAGCGGGAAGGATCAAACAAGCAAACGATACCCTCTTAGCTCGGACCTATGTCGCCAACTTCTACGCCAACACAACGACCTCGTCAACGGCAAGGTCGATATTCGTCCAGCCTGCGCTGCCGTACACCACCAACCCCTCTGCCCCGTGCCCCATCCCGGCATCGGAACGGTGTATCCTGGGCCCCAATGCAGCGTTTGGCATGAAAACGGCTATTCTCGACAGTCAGGAAAGTCTGGGAATCAACGCCCGGGCCGAGGATCGCGTCGGCGTGGAGATCAGCGTGACGTGCTCTCAGGTGAGCACTAGGGGCCTTCGCTGGAACAACGACACGCACTTCGCCTTTACCTTTGGGGGGTATTTTGCAGAAGACGCGGCGGATAATGTCACCTACCTCTACTACCTCGGGACAGAGCTCTCGAAGGTAGGTTACATGTTGGTGTAGGTTGACTCCCAATCCGCCATCATTCCTGTTTCTAGCACGATCCATGCCGCTGATTCGGAAGACTTTCAGTCCTCGGGCCGCGTTCGTCCGAGACTCGCGCGCCTGGGTTCCCATTCCTGAGTTCAACCGGACAGATGCCGACGTGAGCGTGTTCTTCCTCAGCCAAAACGACATATCATACCTGTCCCCCGTGCAGGACCGCTTCTTCTTGGCAAACGGCACGGTGAAGTACACCGACCAGGGCGGGCGGACGTTTTTTCGGGCCAACTCTTACGTCAACACCATGGTCTGCGCCGAGCAGTACGCCGTGTGTAATCCCTCGACGTCGTCGTGCACCGCTCCAGGCGGCTGGCAGCATCTGTACGACGCCATCCTGACCGAGAATCCACTGGGCTTCAACACGGGGCAGATCGGCACGGCCGGACGCGTCCTCCTGGCGCTGGTCGACGCCAACATGTACAGCAGCGTCGCTGCCCTCGGCGCCGGCGCTTTGTGGGCCAACAACCTCGCCAGTGGGAATATCTCTCCCGGACTGCCAGACAACCAGTGGCAGACCGAGGTACTGGGCTGGTTTCAGACGAGCCTCGCCAAGCTCCAGGCCTACATGGTTGAGTATGCATCGAGCACGGCGGGCCTGGGCCCCTTTGGGGCCACCGAAGAATCGCCGTACGGCTACCGGTCAAGGGTCAATGCGACTACCAAGGAGCTGTGGGATCAGTGCGAGAACCAATTGATACGCACGGCGGGCGATGTCCAGAACTTCAACTTTGCTGGCGTTGTGATCATTGCGTGCGTCAGCGTTTCTCTGATGCTTTTGGACTGCGCGTTGGGGACGATCCTGAATCTCGCGGTGCGGTACTTGGGGTTCGGGCCGGCTGCCGAGATGGCGCGGCAGTGGGATGCCAATCTCAACCTTCTACGGATGGCGCTGGAAAGTCCAGGTGCGGACGATGGGGTGAGCGGGTGGAAGCCAGGGAGGTGGGGTATCCCGGTGCTGGACAGATCATAGCGATGCGAGGTTGACTGCTTCTCTGACGTGTCTCGGGACTGAGGTGGTCAGTGACAAGCAAAGTCAGGGTTGGCAGAGACCTAAGGTATGTACAGTATACAGTATGTACTGTACAGTACCTATCGATTGACCGCGCCTCCAGCTGTCGCACAGTTGGGACCAGATGTCTGAGCCTGGGGGTCTCCCGCATCAATGATTCGTGGCGCCTCCAGCCTGAAACGTGGTACTCACATCTTCTGGAACAGATCGACAGGAGCCGATGCGCAAACAGCAAGAGGCCCCGTTTATTGTCCAAGTTCGCAAGACTGGAAGCTTTCGGTTCATCGTCAATAAGTGACAATTAAGCGTCAAGAAACGACGATTGCTATGTTCATCCTGCGAGCCGTTTGCTAGGAGAGGGCAGATTGCAGAAAGCTACCAGAAAGTTAACGTTCCAGGTTTCCAGGTTAGGTAATCCGTACAGTCGATTGGATTACCATAATTGACGCCGGCTCCACTGGCCAGGCGGAGCTCCAACATCCGGAACTGAAACAAAGACGCCTATGTACTCCGTACCAAGATAGCGCATATCCCACGCCCGCGGCAATTGGGCAGACCAGGAGTGTTATACAGGTACATGTGTCGGCGACAATGAACCTGTAGCCACAGTGCAGCGACAGCCGGCTGACAGGACTTCTCGGCAACACGTCCTCCCGCGCCTCGCGAGTCCAGACCGTAGCGCCAGCTCACGCCATGGTGGTCTCATGAATCGGCGGTTCCATATCCAACCTTTTGGAAGCAACGCAGGGTCTGATGGAAACTCTATGTTCCGACAAAGACAACAACTCGAAGCCAGGTTGGGCCTGCGCTTAGGAGTGTGTCCCTTCAGCGCCTTCCTGTGCTTGACAGTCTCGGAACATGAACTGGGGTCTTGGAATCCAAAACATACGGAAGCACATTGGGTACGCCGGCAAGCCTCGGCGCCGTTTGACAGACTTTCATACGCTTTCCTCGTCGGGTTCGACGATGCTACACGCCCCGAACGCTCTCCGTCTGCGAGGGCCATGATCCCTGCCCAAGCCGAAGCCAGCCCCCGACTAAAAGCTTGTCACCGCATCTCTATCCGTTCTTTAGTTTCTTTGTCTTAACGCTTCCATCACCTTAAGTTATGTATGCTCCGTTCTCCTTTTCTCCCTCGACTAGTTGAGTTTGGTACGGGTGGCTGCCGGATTCACTCGAGTCCGCTGTCATTCCCCGATCCCTCCCCTTCACTCGACATGCCATTTAGCATGCCGTGCTTCCACTCCCTCTCAAAACCTCACCTTCGGGAGTCCGAATTTCGCTGGCTCTCTTCAAGTCCGTGCCAGTGGCCAAAGATGGCTCTTCGCCTCTCACTTCTCCAACTCTCTGCTGTCGCCGTCTTGGTCTTCTTTTCTCTTCTTCTCAACGGTGGAGAGTCGGCTACAGCACCGGATGCGTGTGTATCGGACGACCACCACAATACACTCGCTGAGTCGTTCCCGAACAACGCCACGGGCGTTCTCAATGCTACGCTGGCCATCATCCCGATCCCATTGGAGACAGCTCGCCGTCTGATTCCGCCCCAGTACGGCATTCTCGAGCGAGCCTATCGCGCCCTCGTGCCAAACTTCCCCGAGGGCATGTACCCTGTCATGGTGCAGGCGGCTCATGATCATGATGTTCAGTTCCGGGCCTATGGTATCACTATCGATGACTTCACAGTGAGTGCCCACGGTTAGATGGTCTGCGTTGGAGGGAGGTTGACCATATCCGTAGCGCGTGGGGTTCGAGTTCCCGTTCTTAGACCTCACCGGCGACCGCTACTCCTCTTTCCGCTGGGCACCGGCGCAGCTTATCAGTGCCACAAACGGCATCGCATTGGAAGGATCCCGAGCGTACGGCACCTTCGTCTCTCCCGCCGAGTTTGAGCCGCTCTGCGACGCCTACCGACGGTTGTCCAAAGATACAACCTACTTCAGAGGCTCCAGCCTGACCTCGTCAGAGTTCGTAGAGCTCGAGATGAGGCGCCTTCCTCACTCGGCCTCCGACCCCTATCCCTTGGAGCTGTTGAAGAACATCACGAACCAGCCCACCTTCGCGAACGCCACATCGTGCGACAACATGATCCGGCTGTTCAACACGACCATGTCAGTCGGCGAGCACGCCCCAGCGTCCGTACGAGGCAGGGTCAGGGCCCGCGTCTTCCCGTTCGGGGGAGTAGAGCAGGAGTGGACCGACGTCTATGGCGTGCAGGTGGCGACGCCGTTCATCGAAAATAATTACCTCGACTGCCGGACCATGAGAGGATACTCGGGGACCGCCGGGCCGGGCGACTCGTACATGCATGGCGGTAATTCTAATGATGAGCTGTGATAGGAAGACAAATCATGATACCCATATGGGCGGCTGGAGGGACCGTGCTGCTCATGGCTATTAGAAACAATGGAAGTATACTCGAAGTTCAGAGCGCTTTTCAATCACTGCTCGTTTTGAAAGCCAGCATCCCCCAGCACTCTTGACTTTTTGCGGCACAGGAGACTGTCTCACAACCACGAAACACGAGGCAACGCCTCTCGGCGCCGCTCGCAGGCGCCCATTTTAGGTTTCTCTTTGGACCGAGCCTGTTGGTGGCAAGGATCATCATCCTGTAGCGCTCCAATTCCCTTACCAACCGTCGTCGGAAACGGGCGTTGAGCGACCAGACACCACCAGCCAGGTTGGGTCATGGGCTTCTTATACCGCTGCCTGCCCACGCAGGCCCAGTCCCGGCTTGACTTGTCAATCTTTCAAGGTCATATTTTACTGTTCAGCAGGCACTGCCGATTTGATCGTTTTATGCTCCTTTTTTTCAGGTCGAGAATTGTCGCCGGTCCATCTTCACCTCTAGTTTCTTTCTTTTCTTGGCTTTTTCGTCGTTGCGTATTCAACGAAATGTTCCACGCGGTTCCTCTGAAGCGAAACCTCTCCCGCTCCGTCATCAAGATCATCCAGCGGACGCTGCCCTTGGTCACGACAAGAGGCCGGTCATGGACGACCAACGCAAAGACCCGGATGCCCATCGATATATGATGGGCGTGAGCAACAGGGAAATGTTCAGCGCGTTATATGGTGACAGAGGGGTGGCGGGTCGTGATCAAAGGGCAGTTGCCTTTTACGAACGGTTGCGTTTGAGTTAACGGTATCAACGCATCAACGGGTGAAATTAGGGCGCTGCTGGTTTGAGCCCTTAGTCTGGAGTCATCCACATTAAAAGAAAAGCACTGCGAGATGAAGAAATCTTTTCAACCCACTGCCATCCATGAGATTTGGACGTCATCAACCCGCCCAGTTCTCTCTCTCTTGGAGTTACCTGGCGGTCCCAAGCCAAACCGAGATCAGAAGAAGAACGAGAGTGGAAAGTTCACAAGAATGATACCAACCTGACAGTGCTGGTGTGAAGCTTGGCTGTATTCTTTTGGTTTGCCGCACACTTGTTCATATAGAGCGGGCAAGAAAGGATACTATGGACGGAACTTAGAGGCTAGGACAAATGGTTGTGGCTCAGGGCTAGGCGGCGTACAGAGTGAAGTGTTGGGTCTTTTATGTGATCCCTTGTCTTCTTTTGTTTGCCCCGCGCGATGCGACTTAGCTTCGGTCGTATTCATGTCTGGCTGTAAGCTAGAGAGAGGTTTGGAAATGGTGCTTGCCCCGGGAGCTTTGAATAAAAATCTTACTGTCAAGCTGAAACCTTCTTGTTCAGGTTGGTTTCCTGGCCGGCGCTGGCTTGGACTCAAGCCCTCATCCCATCCACACATCAAGCTGCCGCTTTATCATCCCGGCACTTCGTCACTTCAACGCTTAGATTTGGCAGCAGACACCGCAGTTGCGCATTTTGGTCCTGTGCCTACTTCTTTGCTCATCCTGCAGGATCAGGTCAGCCATTGAATTCTTCCACGATCCCTCCCAACCCGGTTTTACGAGACACTCTGGAAGTTGGAACAGTCTTTTGCATGGCCGGCTCCAGAACTTGGGAATCTTGACACGTCAACCTCACCAAAGCGCTTGCATGTTCTTTTCCCGGGAGCTTGAACTTCAACAGAGCTGGGACTATGGCTTCCTCGAGCGAACCGGAGGGGCCATCCCCAGACTGGGTCTTGTCCAACAATTGCGATATTCAGTAAGCAGAGCTAGCACTGTACACAACCCCTTACATATCGTTCGACTCTACCGGACTGACAATACCCTTACAGCGCAACCAGGGATTGATCCTGGTACTCCACATACATGCCGTTCCAAAGCTGGATGACGGACTTCATGGTTGCCTGAGCCGGGGTTGTTGGCATCGGCGACGTCGAACTTGATTTGTTTCAGGGTCATCTCATGACCAGACTTCACCTATTTACAGTCTGACGCTACCGTACCTGCGGTTGTTTCTCCGTTCCAGCAATGGCTGCTCAGTCGCGGCTCCTGGTAACCGCTCGGCGAGGAAATCTTTGCCGTCCAGTACATCCCCTCCGTCGCCCACGTGAAGACCCGAATCCCCAACCACTGAGTATCCACTCCGCCACGGCCAGACTTTTGCGCACAACAGCCAGTATACTACTCCAAGCAGCAAAACGCCGGTGCCAACCAGCGGAAATGCGTAGTACGGGTACCCATCCGCATTCCAGTCGCTGTTTGGCGGAACAAAAGGCGTGACGACGAGGAAGACGTTGAGGAGCAGATAGATGACGGAGACAGGGAGGTAAGATTGCCAGGGAGATGACCAATTTTCCGACTTGGTGAGACGTAGATAAATGAGTCCACCGGCGACCAATGCGTTGATCCAAGCACCCGGGTACGTGTATCTGGGAAACACGGTCATTCAATGAGCTGACATGCTGTCCAAGGAGGCCGGAATCGACGTACAAGTTGACAACGAAATTGTATGCCGGACCTGGCGGAGGGGCGATGAGGACGATGACGGTAACGACCCAATGAAGGAAGAGCTACAATTTTGATCAGCTAACGGCCACTTCCCAGACAACGTGCCGGTCACTTACCGAAGCCGCAGGCGTGCCGAAGGGGTGGGTGGATGCCCAGAACTTACTCCACGGCAATATCCCTTCCTTGGCCAACTCTTGGTTGACACGCGAATGCGCGAAGCTCACAGCCAAGACGTTGCCGACATTACTGAGGGCGACAAACGCTGGTAGACTTCGAGCCGCAGCACTCTCCCCAAACATGTTCTGGAAAAACAGGCCGGCAACGATGACCTCGGACTTGGCGAGGTCAGCCTTGGGAATGGCTGCAAAATATGCGACATTGGCGAGCACATACAGAACCGTAATCCCACTGACGGCAAGGGGTGCTGCAATCTTGAGCGTCCGCTGGGGATTCTTCAGCTCGCCCATGACGTAGTTGGCGTTTTCCCAGCCCTTGTAGCTGTAGACGACCTGGAGGAGAGCTGTGGCGTAGGCATATGCTCCTCCTCCGCCGTAGCCGTCTCTCTTCTCGACAGCCCAAAAGTTATCAAAGTTGCCCGGATCCGGAACCAGTCGATAGCCGGCCAAGGCTACGAAGCCAGAGAGGATAATCAGGAGCAGAACCAGAACCTTGAAAATGCCGAGGGCGTTGGTAAGTCTGAGGCTCCATCTTGGAAGCGCGGCGTGGAGGCCGGCAATGAAGATGATGCATGCCACAGCAATTGCTCGAGGAGTCCAACCATCGGGCATGGGGTGGCCCAGAGCCAGGAGCACATATCGGCCAAAAGCTAGGGAATTGCCGGCGGAGAAACCGAGAAGGACGATTTGAACGGCGAAAATGCTCGTGGCCAAGTGTCGAGGTCGCCTCAAAACGCGCTCGAGATAGTTCTTCTCGCCTCCCGACCGGGGGATGGCGAGCCCGAATTCCAAATAGACGCTGAGGCCGGAAAGAGTCAGAAGACCAGCTGGCCGTGTCAGCATGTCGGCGATTGTCCTTCCGTCAACAGGCGTCGCCCTTCTCTGTTGTACTCACCGACAGCCCACAGCAGCAAGCTGATACCCACAGAGCCTGTTGCGGCGAAGATGCTCGATGGCGTTGAGAAGACTGGTTCCCGTTCAGTTCTTGACTCTGGAGGTGGATCTGTGCACTGGAACTGTACTCCCTGTCCCGATCATCTTGTTCAATATCAGGAACACAGCGCTGGCGACCCCAATCTTTCCCGGCCCCGACTGAGCACACTGTGCATCAGGTTGGTCCAAGATGCCGCCAGCGGCTTCACCGTCGATGGGGTGATCAAAGGACCTCACAGGCCTCTTTCCGTCAGGCCCTTCCATTGGGAATAATGGAGTTCAGCAATCGGTAGCTATGCAGCTGCCGATGGTTGATGGTGCGTCTGGGAGGAGGAGTTTGCGGAGCACAATGATGATGCCCTGCTCGGCTTCGGTGAGAAAGAGGGTACTAAGTCGTCGAATATTGTTGGGATTTGGACCTGAGTCGCAACATGGTTGGCAGAACCCCGGGCATTGAGTACTGGGTTTTGAGGAAATGGCAGGTGAGGTGGGTGGTCACTGGCGGAGTAGCAGATTGCGTGCTTGCAACTCACGATGACAGCAACCCCACTGTGGTAGGAAGCCGGTGATACACCTGGGTTTCGGCATCAGAGCGGGAATCGGAACCTTGATCCTCAATCTCTCGGCAGTCGTCTTGGCGGCCCGGCGAGCTCCGTGAACGTCCCGCACTCTTAACGAGCAATTGAGGAGTACCGCGTAGCAACATTTCCTAGCATGAACATCGCGGACAATGTAGATACGCACACCTTGCCGCTAGAGCACCGCTTTCATGCGCCTCCGTCGACGATGGATCTGGTGCTCTCGTCCAATCATTGCAATGCTCAGGTAACGCTGTTGAATTTTTGTTGGTTGGCCCGATTCGAGGAATGGGCGCAAGTGCACCAGAAACCATTGGCCTTTTCCACGCGCCCGTTAAATGATGAACTCACAATGTGCAGATCAAAGGCAGCATGAAGCGCGCAATCCCTCTTCTTGGTTTTCATCAAAAGGCTCACCATCCCAGCAAGTGCCTGAGATGCTTTTTTAGCTCGTCTCCACCTGGACAACAAAAAAAGGGTAAGTTAATCCATATTGGAAATTCCTCCCTCCACCCAACCCAGACACCCTACTTCCCGCCCCTCTTCCTGCCATCGCTGCCAAAATGAATCGCCAATCACACTATTCTACGCCGAAAAAGGCGAGGATACGAGGACGATTGATTATCTCGAATCCCGTCGTATCCCGCACTTCAAAAGCGACGTTTTTCGCTTCCACGGAGCTAGCCAACGCTCTGGTTGGCGCGCCCTCGCGGAACCGGAGGATACAGGCGACCGATCTTTCCACTCGA